CATGAAAATAAAATACACTAGGTTTTATTTGCTAAAGCATATAGCAATAGCAGTCTTGCTGTCCTTATAGAAACAGCCATGAAAAATAACACTGCAACTTGATTAGATATCCCAAGATACCTGCAACACTTCCAGCCATTCGGCAAGGACAAACAGTACACCCAAAAAGCGGCGCCTTTCTTTTTACATGTACTGCTTGTCCGTGCTGAATGACTCGAAGTCTCACAGAGACCTTGGAAAAATAATTAAGTTGTAATGCCACTGCCCTTGAACTTTTTCCAACCTAACCTAACCTTCTAAAAGTAATGAAAAGTTTTTTATCTTTTTTTTCATAAAAATCAAATTCAAAAACGTTTTTTCAAAATTTTAAAACTTTAAAATTGTGTTCATTTGGGCCCAATCTTGAATTGACTTCAACCTGAAATAGAATGCAAAATAATTGTTAGTAAAAACAACAACTGATAATAAATTGGCAATTAACACTTTAATTTTTGGCTATAACACTCATTTATATGTCTAATTCAGACAATTATCTTTCTAATTGTCACAATGAGTATATAATTAATACACGGTTATAAAGCGCGAACGAATTCCCTTGGGAGCAAATTTCGACAATGTGATTGGTTGGCGAAAAACTTTGCCGCGAAAATATTTTTCACCAACCAATCACATTCCGGAAATTTTTAGCGCGAACAAATAAGCAGAACGACTCTTTGTTGAAACTCAGGAAATGGCAGTTGAAGTTTATGTAAATAATTCAGAAAACAGTACAATTTTGGTAAATTTGGTAGAATTTTTCAGACTTTATTGACTTTAGACTTGTCAAAATCTGTGTTGTCCAAACATGAAGCTAACCGAGCCACGCGCGCGAAAAGTTTTCAAAAATTTCCCAAGCTCGACTTCGACAAATTTTCTTCAAAAAATATTCCTGAAAAACTTCTAAAAACTTCGTGAGTTTGTTTTGTTGTCTTGTTTCTACTTTGTGTCATCGAATATTCGAAATAAAAGCGGAATACAGCGGCAAATTTTACCATGTGTTCAAGTGCTTGACTAAAACCTCGCATTTCGTCTCGAAATTTTGCTCAAAAATACACCAAAATTCCTTCAAAAGTCTCTCGAAGTATTGCTACGTTTAGCGAAGACAAAAGTCAAACGAAACGAACAAGAAACTAAAGACGAAAGCGGCGAAACTTCTTCGGTCTGGTCGAGCCAACTGTGAACTCCGAACCCGCATTTCAGGCCTAAAAATTCAAATTAATGTCAGAAAAATTCAAGAAATAGCAAATTTATACTTGCCTGTAACGGTTGAAGGCATTTCTGGGTCGCAGAAGCGTCGAATAGCGGTCGTCTTGAATAAAACGTGGAGAAGACTGTCTTAGGTCATTTCCAAAGGGCGACATGTTCCAAATGCCCCAAACTTCTTCCACGTAAAATTTTCCCGCTCTTGCTTTCGCCTGTGATTGGTGGATATTGGCCAATCAGGAAACTTTTAAACGTTACAAAAACTGTTGGAAGAATATTTTTTGATCAAATCTTTGCTACTGTATTTCGCCGAAGATGAAAAGTTAAAATCTCCCAAGCAGTTTTTCAATTAAGGTGTTTTCTCGTAGTAGTTCAAGAAAAGTGATTTCCGGTCACATCTCAGAATATTGAAGCATTTGCACAGAAAACTCGAGTTACCACAAACGTTATTTTTATTTAATCTAACTCAAAATACTCGTTGAATAATACACCCAAAAGAAAAGGGGCCTTTTTTGTCCAGTACTTTTATATAGCATCGGTACATGGCAAGGGAAATTTTTTAAATTTTATTTTAGCACAACTTTTAAAACTGTGAACAATTGAAATGAACGAAGAAATATATTCAATATACTGAAAGGTCTCAATTGTGTATAAACATGAGAAAACAGCAAGCTAATAGACGATAACAAATTTTCATACAGTTTATAAAAGAAACGCTAAATTCTACAGCAATTATCAATGCAAATTTTATTGAAAGCATTTAAAATTATTTACACAAACTTAAAAAAGCAATACCAGGGATTAAAACACACACAAAGACACAGAAAGAAGCAAAATATTTTTACAGCATTTTTCAAGTGCATCAAGGGTAGTTCTGCGATTTCCTTCTTGTCCCTATACAACCTAAAACAACTATGGTGAATTATTTCATTTTGAACAATGTTGATGAAAAATTGATGGAGAATGTTATTGACAGCTGTATTGTTGTCTCAACAGCTACAATGTGTCCAATTCAGCGTGCTTCAAGAGCTAACGTGTACTTCATAACCGTTCCTCTACACAAATGGCAACTTCATTCACTTTCGCGCCCGGGACGTCATCCTTCTTTGGTTGAGCTGGGGTCGCACCGTTGCTTTCTGAGCTAACATTGGTCATTGCTGTAGTACCGTTATTCCTTTGTGCGGCTGGGAGTGGACTTCTGTTGGCAGCAGCGGTTAACTGTTGTGAGGTACTTCGTTTAAAGAGCGCTTTAATGGCTTCACGAAAGTTCGGAAGACGCCATGCATAGAGGAAGGGGTTGACGCTGGAATTAAGAACGATAAAAACATAAGACAGATCTCGGAACCAATGTATGGCTTGACAGGAACACACTGTACACAAATTCATCAAGTAAATCATTATCAAAGATGGAGTATAGCAGAAAATGAAAGCCAATAACATGAACATAAATGTTTTTGTGATCCGTGCTTCAGTCCTGAGTGCGTTATTCCGTGCTTGGTTTTCTTCACTGCGGCCTTGGATCGACTCGAGTTCTTTGATCTGGGCACGTAAAGTGAGATGCACGCGCACGAACGCAAATAGCAACACGAAGAACGTTACCAACACGGACGCGTTTCCGAACACGAAAAAGTACCAAAGGAAGCCGATTTCCTGCTGAAGGAAAGGTAGTGAAGTGGAAATTATCCAAATGGCAAGGGAACTGATAGCCGCTCGTTTGTTACTTAAGGTGGCTCGGTACTGCATTGGTGAAGTAATGGCGATATAGCGATCAATTGTTAGCATACCTAGACTAAATACCGAGGCAGTGCATGAAGTGAAGTAGACAGGTTGTAAGTAAACGTGGTACTTTAACGGATATCCGAGACCTTCCCGGGCATGAACGACAACAGAGAGAGGTTCCACGATCATTCCCACCAACAGGTCAGCCAAGGCCAAATTGAGAATGAACCAGTTGAACGGAGTTCGCATTTTACCGTTCGGGTTTTTGAACACAACGATGAGAACCAGGAGGTTACCGGGGATTGTGATGAGGGAGAGAAAGCCCGACATTGAGGCGTTGGTGTACGAGATTTCTTCATTCGGCCAGACACCAAGGCATCTTTTCTGGTTTGCATTCAGACTTGACATGTTTAGCTGATCACCGTCAACTTCGAGCTACAATGAAAATAGATCTTGTGAGACTAATGGTTCAATTTTTACTAAAGTGACCGAATATCTACAAGACGAAATTAGCCATTCCGAAGTTGATGAGTGGGCTGGGGACGAGAGTTAAAAAGTGTCCAAATTAAGAAATGAACCAAATCCGGCACTAAAAAGAACATATCAAAATTAGTGAGTATACAAAGTTTGAAGACGTTTACAATACATGAATACCCTTTGAATAATAAGCTTTCGAAATTACTGATTAAAAGACTGTTTTTGGGACGCGCGTCCCCCAAGACAAAAATTACAGTACATTTCATAGCAAATATCGCGCGGATTTTCGAAAGCTTATTATTCAAAGGGTATTCATGTATTGTAAACGTCTTCAAACTTTGTATACTTACTAATTTTGAGGTGGTCTTTTTAGTGATTTGGTTCATTTCTTAATTTGGGCACTTTTTAACACTCCAACTCGTCCCCAGTCCTCTCATTAACTTCGGAATGGCTAATAGCATAGATGGCTAATAGTCCTGGCATGCCCGATATTCCCGGATAGTTCGTCTAATGCCATATTTATAAATACATTTACACGAATCGTCCGTATACTGTCGTCCGTCAAATTGTCTGCAGGCAAGTTTAAATAACGTAAATAATAGACCTTTTCACGGCCATTGTTTAGGTACTCGCCAAGTACTCGCTTCCGCAATATAAAAACATATAAAATGCACAAACTTTGCAAAAGCCATTTTATCCTTATGTTACAAAATTTTACAACCAAGTTTCAGTAGCAGTTTTACTAATTTTCATGTGCTCTTTTCAGATGTGTATGGTGTTGGATTTTCATTTTTGTGCTTGAAGTATGAGGCGCCATAGTGGACAAAAGTCTAAAATATACATTATGGTCTAATTTTGTCATACAATGTGTGTTTCTTTATATGATTATACTTTGATGATTTTTATATAAAGCCTGCTTGCAGTATAAGGTCTGTTTTCGTTATATATGGTCTCTTTTCATTATTTATAGTCTGATTCCACAATGCATGGTTTGTTTCCATTATATAAGGTATTTTTCATTATATAAGGTCCGTTTTCAGTCATTATATAAGGTCTGTTTTCAGTCATTATATATGGTCTGTTTTTAATTCTAATTTATAAGGTCTACCCTGGGAACAAGTAGAGCTCACTGCGCGGTCAGGATATCTTAACTCTATTTGTGCTTTATAGTTGAAGTATTTCAAACAAAATAACATAATTCACAAGTCATTATCTAATAATCTGCGCCTTTGTAAAGATATCAAAATATAAAAATAACAAGAATTATGAAAGGGATATGTATGAAATGAAATGAATTTCGAAGCAGATTTTGAGCAGTTCATTTCTGATTTACCGAATAAAATATAACAAGCCAAGCGACAGTAACTGTTCAGCGGAAATTTAAATGCCTTGGAATTTTGGCATCGAGCGTTTCGAAGAAAGTCAAAGCGATGGTGAATTGATTGCTTCTTTATTCTTTAAACAACCTTGTTGCTGAAATCGTCGTTCATTTCACCCATGATTGTTTACATAAACATTCAGACCTGTTCATAAACACTTTGACTGAACCGCGGGAAAAGTCTTGAGCCCCTAATAGGACATTTTATACTTGGTGTAAGTACAATTATTGTCTGACCGCGCTGTGAGCGCTACTTGCTCCCAGGGTAGACCTTATAAATTAGAATTAAAAACAGACCATATATATGATGATGAAAACAGACCATATATAATGACTGAAAACAGACCTTATATAATGAAAAAACCTTATATAATGGAAACAAACCATGCATAGTGGAATCAGACTATAAATAATGAAAAGAGACCATATATAACGAAAACAGACCTTATATACTGCAAGCAGGCTTTATATAAAGATCATCAAAGTATAATCATATAAAGAAACACACATTGTATGACAAAATTAGACCATAATGTATATTTCAGACTTTGTCCACTATGGCGCCTCATACTGAAGGCTGCATTCCCAGTTACGTGTTTTTCATACGTGCGTACACGCACGTAAAAGTTGAGTTCGCTTTACATCCTACTTATGAAATAACTAAATTTATAAAAGGACAGCATTAGGTTATTTGCACTTATATGAAATTTTAAGCGAATTCAAGAAAAAAAAACGCGTAACTGGAATGCAGCCTTAACTAGCCTGCGAACAGGCTCTCAAGCTGAATTGAGAGCCTGCATCGATGACTAATGAATTTGAATATCTGCCCCGTAACGTTCGTTTTTCCAAATATGGAATGTCTATCCTTATATGGTTTTGTTTACAACTTTCGTGCAAACTAAATTTAGACCGTGCAAACTAAATTTAGACCGTACAGTTTATACTGTTTTTCGAAATATAAGATATTCAAGCAAAAGTTCAAATGTTTTAAATACTGTTTTCTCAAAACAACATTTCGTGCTTTGAGATAACATGGCCAAGACCAATTTGATCAGTTAATGTGTTTTTTATGCATAGTGCTTGTAGTTGACATATATAGAGCTCAGCGGAAACATAAATTATAGCATCTGACCAATGAGAATTTAGCGTCACGATTTGAGATGCAGAGATTCAAATTCATTAGTCATCGATGCAGGCTCTCAATTCAGCTTGAGAGCCTGTTCGCAGGCTAAGCCTTAACTAAAAATTTGAAAAAAAGTGAAAACGTCTATTTCGTCTTAACGGATGAAAAATCCATCGATGAAAAGTCCAGAAGGATAATTACACATCTCTTGCACAAATCTAGTCATCTTTCTTCGATTTAATACTAGCTACATGCATCGAGGAAAATTTGGAAAAAAGAAAATAGAAGAATGATAAAAAGAAAAACGTGGCTATGAACACGTAACCCTTTCGCGTGTTATACTACGGCAAGACGAGTAACTTTAATTGCTTACCTTATAGCTTTTTCAATAGCGCAGGGCGTTTTTCAGATAAAGTTTATGAGAAACTCATATATAGTATTCCAATCTGCCTTATCCTATATCAGCTGTATACGCAGACTATGCATGTCTCCAAATTAAACGCAATTTATATTCCAAGCTGAGTGGGGAACATGCGCTGTTAATGAACCATGACGCTGTGAATGTTGATGATATTTTAACGGCTAAATGTGTTGACAAATAATTCATTAAAATCTGGACAAAACTCAATTGTAATTCAACAATGACGATGGACGATTGCTGCTACTAATGAGGATAATAGATAACGATGTTTTCTTAATTTACACTTCTTGACGAGCTTCTTGAGGTGTATTATTAAAGCATCGCCCATGCGGCAAGTATGAATATACAGACAAAGTTCTAGTTTATCGACTTCTTGTGTTAAGTTTTTTAGTTAGTTCTACTTCGAATCTCGTATGTAAAATTATCTTGGTCGAAACCAAGGAAGTGTTCTATACATTTACGATTGGTCATTCAACACACGATATGTTTCATATTATAAATATTAAATAACTTTAAAAAATTGAAAATCTTACTGTGCTCAATTTAAAACAACTGGATCTATTTAAAATCATCCTTCATTAAAAAGACATTTTGCAGTCTTTATAAGAATAAGAAAGCTTCAGGTTGATGGGCATGCAACATAATATTAGATATTAGATCTTCCAGCTCATTTCAAGCATTCAAGCGTAAAGCCCATGAATTGTTTTTGGATATGTATAAAAATAACTCGTACGATATACAGTGTATGTTAATTCTAATTTGTTATACCTATATCGATATGTATATACTTTATGTAATTATGTATACTGTAGTCTGTAATCTGTAGAAATGTAAATTGTACTGCATGTAAATATATTTGATTATATAGTTAA